TCAGCGATTTCATCGGTTTTTTAGGATCGATGGATATAATCTTATTACAACTTCAATGTTGTTATTTCTCAATTTACTACCAAACTTTCTATTTTTATGTATATTTAGAAATTCAATAATTCCGTAGGTAGGGATTTCCTTAGGTACATATATTTTTTTTAAAGTTTTATATTTTTTGTGATGAAGCAGGGATTTTAACCTTCCACAGTAATCCAGCAAACATAAATCGTCTTCCATCTGCTCTTTATTCAATCGGTCGATGGTTTTCATCGATCCAATAAGCGCTGAGCTTAGGAACGTGCCCTAAATAAAAAAATAAATGGCTATAAAGTCGATAAATTAAAATTCGTTTAAAATAAATCTTCTATTAAACAACAGATATATATATATATATATAAATCTTCGGGTATATGAAGAGAATGGATAGGAACAGGTTAATCAAACTAATATTTGATGGAACTGGATTACATAAAGGGATATTCCGAAGAAATAAAATAAGCAAAGGAGAAATTCAGCAAAATAGTGAAAAACATAAAGGTTCTTGTAACGGAGAAGAATAAGCGAAAAAGTAAGAAATGGATATAGGAAAGAAGGCGAGAGATGGGAGAATATTGAAAAAAACTTAAAATAGTATACGTTTATACGTAAAATAGTATAGTGACGAGTGGTCCATAGTTGGCCCGTATCGCGATAAATAAATTATTAGCAACTAGGCAAAAAACATAAAAATGGTTATATTTAAAAAGTATATTAAATAATTTATGGATAAGAAATAATAATTGTTTAAATAAATAAAAAATCTATTCTAAATAATTAACCTACATTATATATTTTTTTACAGTAGTTCCTTTTCTCAATAACCGTTTTATAAGACTGATGCTTATTTGTATATGGATTTTATGGTTTATAAGTATTTTTACTTATGATAAGTGTTTGTTTCTATTGTTCGAGGGTATGAAATAGCTTGGTCATCAGTATCCGATTTTGGGTCTTTTTTGACTTAAGTATCGCCAGTCATTTTTAGTTTATTTATTTTATAAATGTTTTTGGGCTCGTCGATCACCTAGGTCATTTATCCGTGCCTGGGTCATTCCTTGCCAATCGCAGTACTGTGGACAGTATTATAATCGGAAATATTAAATACAAGGAATTTAAAAAATCACATACTTGCAATATTATTAAATATCGAAAACACCTTTAATTCCGTGAGATGCAAATTCAGTATTAGAGCATTACTTAATATGGGATTAACGGTGAAATAAAGAAATGGAATTGTTAAAAAATATTATACTACTATAGTTGTAACATATTAACATCTCAAAAATGAGAACCTATATCAAATAAATGCTTTGGATGAAAAAAACATCCTCAGTAAAAATTTAATAATGAAAGTCCATCGTAAAAAAAAAAATTAAGTACAAAATACTTTATACAAATTTAAAACTTGTATTTAACATAGACTATAATAATCGTTATAATTTATCAATTCATGCATATTTGACGAATCTGTAACAGTTCTAAATAAGTGACAAAAAAGTAACTGGCGATACTTAAGTATAAAATACCCCGATTTTTTATAGTTTTCAAACAAGAACGTGAATGATGATTATAAAAAAATAATCATGAAATAAAAAAAAATATAGAAATAAATTATTTTATTAATAAAAATTAGTAAGAAACTAATCAAGTGACAGAACATAATATCCAATCACTCCATGGACGTCATAGAGTGATGCTCGGTAAGCTGTTCTTTTCTTTCCTGAAGATGCCTGGCAGGGGTGCGCACAAACCTTATTCCACCCCTCCCAAGATATTTTATTCCTATCTTCTTCCTAAAAGCAGTGCAAACGAAAGTAGGATTTAAATATTCCTATATTATATGCAATTAAAAATACTGCGGTCTGTTCTACGCTTCCAGTTGGCTTTTAATTTGAAGCTTTTCATTTTTAAAATTAATAACTCCGTCGAAATGTGCCCCCCTCAAAAATTGAAATCTCCCTCAAAAAGTGCCCCCTCATGAATTTTTATGGCGAAACCCCTGCCTGGATTGCCGAAACGTTGACGGATTTTTTTCTTCACATTTATTTCGGAGATATAAGGCTGTGTAATTGGAATTTTTCCTATTAGAACGTAAATTATTTTACATAAGATACAATTTAGTTTTCACTCTGGGAATATTCAACTCAAAATAAAAATTATTATATAAAAGTTTTAAAATAGATACAGGAGTAAGTAAAGAAAATAAGCGATATAGATAAATATTAAACTTCCAAGAAAATATTATTGAGTACATACTTTAATCTTAAAAAAAAAAATACTCAGAATTTTTTTAAAAGGTAAAGATAACTAGGAAATGGAACGTTAGGAGTTTACCAGTAACATTCAGAGTAACGAGTAACATTTACAGTAACGAGTACATTTAGGAACGGATTGTTGCTGTTGAAGATGCGGTTAGCGTGGTTTAAAGTGGCCGTTCCATCAGATAGCGTAAAAGCCCTAACTGCCTTCTGTAGCTGTAGGGACATTATGTTCCTTAACTATTCATTTCAGCCCGGAGGCCTTTGCTAATGGCGAGATCCTTGTTAAAATAATTAATTAATATTATCATGTTAAACTCTCTTGTGTCATGTTGAACACCAAAATTAATGGAGACTGTTACGACGAATAATTGATAGTTTATTTGCAAAATAACACTCAAGCTTTTTATAGTAGGCTTTTTGAGGTAAACTCATTTTAGCTTTCTTATAAATATTTCAGAAAGTGGAAAGTAAATTTAATTTATTTATTTTATTAGTGAAAACTTCTTACTGCAATTTTTTTGTGGGGAGTGGATGAGATTGTTAGGTTCGGATGTGTAACGCTCATTCGGGTAAAGTCGGCTCGAGTCGACTAATTGAAGTATTTTGACTTTGGGATTAAAATATCTCAGAAACTTAAAATCGAACCTACATACTTTAAACGAGGAAAATGTCAAGTATTTCATTCTCTCTGTAATGATTTATAAATTAAAATTGTATCTGCGATGTGCTTTATTTAGTACTAGCTGATGTGCCCATCGTTGATGGGTGTACAGTTAAAATTTGAGAATCTTTGTTTGAGATGGATATTGTATAATGGGGAGATCCAAATTTAATTTCATAATATTGGGTGGAGAAACGGGGGTAATTTTAATTTTGAGAAATTTTTCTTCCGATTTTCGGCTAATAGGTTTGGTTAATCCTAAAAATGTATACATTTGTTATGCCAGGAAAGGTGAACCGAATGACACTTTGAAAGGGAAGATTGGACAAAGTTGAAAAATTAGTTTGTTTTACACGTGTCTTAAGTGACAACGCGTTACAGATGTTGAGGATTTCGGATTTTTCCCGTTGTTGTGATAAATTTTTCCATCAGTTGAGTAGTAGTACAACTTTTAAATGTGGCTCGCGGTAGAGTAGGTTGGGATAAGAATCGAAGTAAGTGACTGCCTAACCGGGATCTCAATTACAAATTACTCAAGAATTCTATAACTTTGGTTCTACTCAATATTTTGTTTTCATTTAAGCCTATGTTTAAGGTCAAACAAACCTAAATATAAAGTAAAAATTTCAAAAGTTTACCATTAGCCATTGCTGAGCTTACCCCTGACAAAATTTCGTTGGACTATGCGGACATCCAGATAGACGAAAAATCTTTAGTAAGCTGAACTTACTAATGACAAAATTTCGTTGCAATGCGGACATACAGACAGATAAATTTTTTAAAAAGTGGATTTGGTATCTGCAATGTATGAAACGACATGATATCATAAAACGGGTTGATTCTATTCAATATACAAACAAAAACTTTATTTTATTTATATAGATAATAATTTACTTGGACCTCCTTTTGGTTTTCGTAATTTATGATATATTATAACTCATTTCGTACAATAGTCAATATTTTTTTCTTATTCTCCTCAAACATTTTTTTTCTCCACAAACGCCTCTTGACTCATTTAAGTTTCGCCATTAGTCTTCTAGCAAATACGGGGTTGGTTTAGGCGACTGACAGCTGTGATCGTAGCACAAAAAAAAAAAAATCTATTGAAATATAATAATCTAAAAATCCTGGACAGGCCAAGAAAAAAATAAATAAGAAAAATTCTGTTTAATATCATTGATCTGTTTGATAAAATATTTCTTTTTTAGGCTCCTAGGGCCCATTGAAACCGAACGCCACACAGTGGACTGTGAGCAATCTAGTGCGACAAAAATCGATACAAAGGAATTGGATTTTTTTTTTTACTCAAAATTGTATCTACTTAATTAAATCAAAATATTTCAAAATTTAAATACCATTAAGAATTCAGATACTGATTTGTGAAAATTCATATAGATAATTTTTTTTTAATTAGACATAAAGATACGAAATTATGTGTTCCTTTTCGATTTACTGTTTCACTCAATAGAGTTTCGACAAATTACTGACCGCTGTTATAGAATTAATAGATTTCAATGAAAAGTATTTATCAAATATTTTAGTTATCACAAACCTATTTTATCATTTTTAGAGTATGATACAAATGATCAGTCAGAGCAAAGTTTACTATAGTAATTTATAAACAATTATAATTGTATATATTGTAAATGTTATTTTTTTGTCAATATTGAACAGATAATAGTTAATACACAACTATAATTATATATATTGTAACTGTTATTATTTTGTGAATATAGAAAAAAAACAATTTATGTTTTTAATCTTGCTTTGTTGAAAATTTAGATTTCCAGTTCTATCGTGTGGTCTTAAGCACACTAAGTATTTTTTTTTCAATTCTTTACTATAATGAGGATTTTGTGTAATTAAATATACACACAGGGAAAAAAATAATAAAATGAAAATGCATTTTTGCGCATACTAAAGTCAAGAAAATTTTTCATCTACTTGAACTTGAAAATTTCATTTAAATTATTCTTAGGTGTCCCAGAATAAAATATACTTTCTTTCTTTTAAATTAAAATTTAAAATTTTGCAATAAACACAGATATTTATAAAGAAAAAATACTTAAGGCTTATATTTTAAAAATGTTTCTCAATTAAGTTCCTCAGAAATTGTTGAAGTTCCATGACCTAGTAAAACGGAATCCGATTTTATATCAGAGAATTATCAATTTTGAATGAAATATTTTCGTATTAATTATAGTTTCTTTCAACTCCTCAATGTGTACCAAAAATACTAATAGTACTTTAAAGAGTTAAAATCCCGAAAAAAAACTAAACATGCTTTTTATCGCTGCTTAGGACTTACAGGACTTTCTCTCGGTTATGTCACATAGCAAACTAACCATCGTTCATGTAACTTTAAACAGAGTATACATGAAGGTTCCTAATGTTGGTAATCCTCTTGATTTTTAAACGTCATCATTTTTTTTATTTTTATAAATTGTAATACCGTGTTTTTAGTTCCATATTACGAATTTTTATTTATTTTTAAATGAAGAGACGAAAATTGTAAAATGTTATCAATTAATCTGAATATTTTAATAATTACAAAATTATCATACTAACTTAATAACGATTCAATATAAATAGATTAAAATTCCTTTCAGATTATGTCAAAATTATGGACATAAAAGTTGTATATAAATTTGATTATTTAAAAAAAAAAAAAGGAGGAAATATTTTGTTAAAATTTGTCGATTACTTCTTAAGATTTTAATACAAATATTATCAAACGTTTGTAGAGACAGGAAGACAGTTTGGCGGTGGTACTCTCTATGTAGACCACCAACCGAAGAAGTCGAGGACAAGCCTCGTGTCAGACGACCGTCACCCGAAGAGTCTGTTCTTGGACCGAGAAGATCGTGTCCGAATTGACGTCTGTCGAAGAAGTGATGTCGGTGGCGATCGGAGTGGATGCTGGAGTCTCTTTCAGGCTTACGTGGAGCAAGCTGTAATAAAGAAAATAAAAAACATATAATTATTCATAAGATTTATTAAAATAATAATAATAATATTCAACATATTAATCCATGATAAAAAAAAAATATAAACCTCTTTATTGGAGATTCCGGAGCCATCGGCCGCATCTTTTCACTTTTCTCTCCGACTCTGGAAAAACAAATTAAAATTGTAATTAACATTAAATATGTCGCTTAGGAGGCTCAGGAGAAACTGGATGAGCGATCTTGCTTAAAAAGTATACTAAAATCAAGATAGAAAGAGATGCCACTGGGCGCTCTCCTCTCCCTCACAAGGACGAATGCTCCTATTAATATTCTTTCCTACAGTAGACTCAATGATTGTCAGTACTTCTGACAGGTGTGGATGAAGAACTTAAGTTAAAAAAAAAAGAATACATCAGGATTCTTAAACTTATAAGAATCTAACTTATATGAAAAGTTAATAATAATAAGCTAAAAAAATTATAATGTATAATTTTTTTTAATTTATTTATTTATTCAGAAATATTACTATCTGTCACAATTAAGGACATTTATAATAGTGTTCAGAGACCACATTCACACTCTATTCACAATAAATAAAAATCAAAGTAAATGTATATTAACAAAAGAACTATCCTTACCAAAATAACAACTAAAACACCTGCATACTATACAATATTTACAGAATCCATTCACTAAGAAGAACTCCGAGCCAAGCCTTTCTCCCCACTCGTGGAAGGAAAGGCAGGACTCTAGGAGATCCCAGCGCCTCGCCCTGAGTCGCATTACTGGTATTAAGAACCAGTAGAGGCTGAGAAGAGGTGCTATAATCACACATACTTGGCTTGAGTGGAGGATTTGGCCATTGCCTAACTCCAATATATGCGTATTCACAGAAGGTCTCTGGGCCACTGTCTGGGGTATGGATGATAGGTAAGATTGTGGTGAAATTTGGAAAAAAAATCTGGAATAAGGTCATGGTTGTATATAGGGTATACAGGTTTTAATATATACATATATGTATAGGTATATAGGGTTAATTTATGTTTAATATATACATAAATTTTTCAAAAGCAGCCTTAACCGTTGGGACGTTTTATCTTCTTCCTTAATGGATGGTTCTTTAGGGAATATTACTAAGACAGCGCTCAGAGAATCGTTATGAAGCTTCTTAGCGTAGACTTGGAAGTATATTGGAGAGTATGTTTGTAAAACATGCGTTACCTGGAAACTTGAATCGGAAGATAAGGAGTTTGAATCCGGAACCGGTGGCATTTAACTCTGGTATTAATCCTACGCCCTCGCCTCTGGTAATGAAAAAACCTTATAACAAAAAAGACAAGGTAGGAAAAAATATATGACAAGGATATTTACCTGTTCTTGGAGTAGAGAGGACACCATTCCCTCCCGAAGGACTCTCCGTCCTCGAGGGTCTGAGGGAGCTGCTGGTGGAGAGTCTCGGGGAGGAGAAGGCTACAGCCACCACCGGCCACCAGGAGCGCTCCCATCACTATCAGCGGGAGCACCAGAAGGTCTTCCCCCTAATAATAATAATAAATAATAAATAGTAATATTTATAATAATAATAATAATATTAATATTATTATTAAAAACAGTAAATATGGAAAAATAAAATTGACCAGAAAATTTAAGTATTTGGGGGAAATAATATGTTACAATGGTTTTGAGAAACAGATCATCCGAGAAAAAATAGCATAGAAAATTTAAGCTTTCAAATCGGCAAAATTTACAATAAAAAGAAACTCTCCTCCAATGCAAAGTTAAGGCATTACAACGGTGTGATAAAGCTTGTGATTTTATATGTGATGGAGACCACATGCTTGCCCAACTTGGAAAAGCTGCTAAGAATAGAAAAGAGGATGTTCTAGATCCTCCTTAGAAGATCTAACGAAGAGATCTACAGAAAAATCAAAAACCTGTAAACCGATGTAAGAATTAGAAAGCCGATGTTCTACGGGCACATGAAAAGGAAGAAGGAGGAAAGACTGAACAAAAAGATCTTTAACAAAAGTTTTAGCTACAAGAGCATGGGAGTATATACGAAGCAAATAAGAGAAGAATTAAAGAACCTTAAAATTTCAGATGCCAACTGTCTAGATAGAGACACATACAGGAAAACACTGAAAAATCTCACCAATATTGGAAGAGAAAAAAGGAGGAGTACAAAGTGGTCCGAAGAAAGAAAGTGGCAGTCGAAAATCATGAAACTGCCATGGGAAAAAAGAAAATCAAGACTCAAAAAACCTAATCAATGATATTCACGTTGTCCTCAGTGGCCGATATGTGATAAAAAAATATTAATATGATAATACTTAGGCACTCTACATAGGTGATATTAAATCATATGCACGAAGTGAGGAAGACCAAAAGCTACTGAGAGATTTCAGCAGGGATATAAATATCATACTTCGGTTAGAGAAATGCAGAGTTATTAATATACACAAGGTTAAACTGAAAGAAACTGGAAATATTGAATTATCTCACAAGGAAATGTTAAGGTAGCTGAAATAATCTGACTCCTATAAATATTTGGGCGTAAATGAGCTCTTGAACTTTAAGGATGAATTTCGATAAATATTAGTAACAGAATTTGAAAAACGTGTCCAGATTCTTTTGGAAACGTACTTTTCATTACGCGATATGATTATGATGAAAATATATAATGGCTGTAAATACCTGGACTGTCCCTGTTATGTCATACACATTTCAAATGGACCGATACTAATTTGCAAGCGCTGGGCCGTAAAGTTAGGGTTATAATGACTTCACGGTAGGTTTTGCAATGCCCTCACTTCTACAGGAATTTGTCATTCTGCCTCTGTAGAATGGCTTGGAAAAGGAAAACTGTTCCCAGAAACAGAGGATTTCTTCTTGCTAAACAGGACCAAGTAGTAGCAACTAACTCTCAAGTACATTTTTAAAAACGATGTTACTGATAAATGCCGACTATGTAAAGTAGGCCTGGCTAAAATTTTAAGAAGTCTCTTCGCTAGATTCACTGTGCAAATATTTTATTCGACCTCTTCTGACATACGGCTCAGAGACGTAGTCTTTATCACGAACAGACGCCTTTAGGTTGCAGAGTTTCGATAGAAACACCTTGAGAAGGATGTTTGACCCTTTAAAAATTGATAATCGGTATAGGCTAAGGCACGGGCGGATCTACGGGGGTGGGGGCTTTCGGGCTGAAGCCCCCCGCCAGAATGGTAAAATATAACCATGTTTTGTCGAAAAAAATATTAAAAAAGTATCTCTTAAAGTATTATTGTTCGTGTAATTACATTTAAAAGGGCTTTAGGGATCACTTAAACACGATTTCATATAGGTAGTTAGTTTCTTTCTTTTTTTCTAAAGTAATTATCATTATTTTTATGAAAAAACAACTTTCGGGCTTAAGCCCCCCCAAAAATAAATCTTGGATCCGCTAGTGGGCTAAGGCATAATGTGGAGTTGTATCAAATTTACCGGGAACCGGATGTGGTGCAATATACGGCTCTCTAGGCTAAGATGGGCTGGGCACGTCGCAATGATGGATGGGGACTTACCAATCAAGCGGCTACTGTTCGGGTATGTGGATGGCAGAAGAAAGAGAGGACGACCACGATTGAGATGGGCACATGATGTAGAAGCCGATGCAGAGAAGCTTCTGGACACTAAAGCTTTGCAGACCTTTGCAGCAATTTGGCAACGGCAATTCACCAAAGTCTTGCCAAATATTACAAATTTACCGAGAGATCAAAGCCTTATTACCGCTACGTTCCGTATTTCATTTTCTCTGATAAGGAAACTACAATCTATTGGGATCAACCTATAACCACAGATAAAATTGTACTACACAATAAACCGGATATTTTGGTACTACGTAAAAAGGAAAAACGGCTGCAATAATTGAGATAGAAGTTTCCAAAGATGAAAATATTCAAAAAGTGTTCGAAGAAAAGATTAGAGAAGAAAAGAAAATATCAAAAGCTCTGTGAAGAACTGTATAGCCTAAAGCAAGAAAAGATATGTTCATCATTTCGAGCACCGGATTAGTCCCAGAGATAACGTTACAAAATTTGCTAAGTGTTGGGACTTGCAGATTATAACCTAGAAGAAGTTCAGAAAGCTGTGCTAATTGACAGCCTAGTCATGAAAATATTTCCTAATCAGAGCCTAACTCTTGACTCATTGAGTCTAAGTAGGTGAACATTCCCAGCAATGGCTGAGGAAGTGCGAAATTCTGAAAATAATAATATTAGGTTCTAATTGAAAAAAATCCAACCATACAGCCAATGTCTCCAAAATGTAGATACAAATAAAAAAATCCGTCAATTTTTCACCAATTTAGGTTTCATCAGGACAGAAAATGAAATATTACATTACTCCATGAGATCCACTCGCATGCTAGAAGAAAGAAAAAACAGCTGATCAGAAAAAAAACTGATGCGTTGCGTGCATCACAAAACTTTCACTTACCACCCTCTTGTTAGCAGAAATAAGTATTTTCAGGGGAAGTAAAATTAAAAATTATAGACGCTATATTTATTTATATTTCATTGTGGATATTTTTATTTTTATAAGTACTCTTATAAATACAAATTTTAGTATTTATATAGTTATATTCTATACAATTAAATATTAAATAATACCAACAATTGCATTTTTGAAAACCGCAGATGTATATTTATATAATTTTGTCGGAGTTCGTATTATATTAAGCTCTCTAAGTCTTTTATTATTCCGGTGAATATTTTCCTCTACTTATGTGACAACCTCTGTATGCATTATGCATACACATAAAAATGCGTATATATGTATATATACACACATTTTATAAACTGTTCTGCTCTATGTGCAACTTAAAAGAAATAGAAGAGATCATACATTTTATTAGTACATGCCTCGTGTTGGAAGGCTTCCGAAATATCGATTTGGAAAAACATTACTTAATAGCTCTGAAGTAATGCATGATCTTAACAGAAAGGATTGGGACAGCTTATATAAATACTCGACTATTGCAGTTAAATATAGAAAACAAATGATAAACGAATTCAACTATTAATATGTGTGAATTTATAAACAGAACTTTTATGTTAGCATTTATGAACTAGATGATGTTGGATTATTATTAAAATTTATATTAATATTATTATTAATTATATTTATTGTTTATATATTGCGATTTAATTTTATTTACATTGTATGTATTCGAATTTTATATGGATTTGTTATTTAGGAAATGGGAACTACGTATAATGTTTTGCAATTTATTTAATATTTGTATTCAGGTATAACGTTGGTCTTCAGTTAGGAGAAGCGAATCTTGTAATATTACATATTATGATTTTTACTAAAATGTAAAAGTGAGCAACCGAGCAGACGGGCAAATAGCCCATTACACACATTAAGTAAGTTATCATGTAAAATCACAAACATTTTTTATCTTAGCCTTTAGTAAGGCATATTGTTATAAATATAATTTATTTTGCAATCGAAATAAAACTCACTATTAGTATCATTATTATTACATACATTTACATTTATGTACGTTTACAAAGATTCGTTATTGGAAATAATTAATCAAAACATATGGTGTGAATATGGTCTTTTGTCATTATGACTCTTGTTCTGGATTAGGACAGAATTTAATAAAAATTCTCCACGATAAAAATTGTTTCCAAAAATAAACTATAAAAACATTTTTTTATTATTTATCCTATATTAGGGAGATAATGTTAGTCATAATAATATACAGATCAGAATTAAATATTTACAGAAAAATTTATATAATTTTAAGAAAAAGTCATAACTGATCTATAACTTTCAAAGTTTGCTTAAGTAAAAAGTTTACTCAAGCAACTTTATTTTACCATCTAAAAGTAAATCATTTAAATAAAATCTTAAGTTTTTTAAAATCCAGTGTAAAGATGATTTAATATAAAGTTGTGTTCTAACTTTTCCTCTAATATTTGCTCCTAGTAAAATATTTGAATAATAGTTGAACGGTTTCTTCTAGAAATAAAAGGACCAATAATTAAATTACTTTTTTTTCATATAATGTCTGTATGAATTCCAATTAGGATAGGACAATAACTAACATATTCTTGTTAGAGAAGGAAGGTCGTGAATAATTCCATCGGCCCGCTACGAAATGAAAATCAACTCGCCCTGACCGAATTCGAATTAATGAATATTCATATGGAAATTTATCACGAAAAACATCCGAGGATCAAAAATTGATGTTTTTCAATGTCATCAGGCCAGGCAGCTTTCAATCTCTCTTAACTTCATTTAATCTCTAATTAATATTTTTTTTGGGGAATATTGATATGCAACATTCGACGAAGTATTGAGAATCAGGTGTTGACGTGATAGAAATAATGAAATGGGAACGATAGGACCCTGCAGGATATTTTCCATTTCTTTCATTCAATTACTATGGTTTGTTAAGGAAGGAGATCTCTCATCCATCGCCTTTTCAATCTCTTCCTGATATTGATAGGGA